TTGGAAGACCACTTGAAGTGGTCGGCCAACCACTTTAAGTAGCTGGCCGACCACCTCAAGTGGTCAGCTGCTTTTTGTCACCTTTTTGGAGATATTTTCCTCCAACTGTAGCTGGAGGGCACTAGAACCATCCTCCATGCACGTGTATGGAGGGACGGCCTTGAGCCTTAGCTTCTTCAAGAAGCTTGTGCTTTTGTTCTCTGTAAGAGGAAGGCTCCTTCTCCCTCCTCTAGGTTCAGAATTTTGTGCCTTGAGAGTTATACATACATAGTTGTATCTATCTTACTCTTGTTCTTCATTTTGTGCATTAAAAGTGTCATTTGATCATACTTTTGCACACAAGCACACACTAAAACACCATACCTTTGTTGCTGAGGATTCTTGAGGTTGTCTTTGGTGCTTTTGGACTGGTTTGAGCTCAAAGAAGTTGCTGGAGTTGCAGCTTTAAAGTGGTTCTTCAAAGGTGGGTTACTATCCCTTAAAACCCCCATTTTTCCTTAAGCTTTTAGCCCAACTTGCATGCTGTTTTAAGCTTAACTTTCTACTGAAAAAAGTTCTATTTTTGCATGCTTAGAATGTTTGTTTAAGGTCACTTTTTCGTTGGGGGTGGTCTGCCCCCTCTTAGGCCTTGTTAGGCCTTGTTTTCAGCCATCCCTTTAGGCTCTTGTTGTAGCCTTTGCATGACCTTTCTACCACTGAAATCCAAAGGATTTTTAGTGGTGGAAAGGTGGTTTTGAGGTCCTAAGTAGGAGAGGGTTATCCCCTCTCCGTGTATTTTGAATACTTGTTTCATATGCCTCATGTTTGAGCATGTTTGTTAAGCTTGTGTTGGCTTGTTCTTAGCATGTATTTGGGGTTATTTCAGCATATCATGCCACTATTTTTGGCTGTCTTGATCATCCCTTGCATGCTTAATACACTTGTAGTGTAATCTTCACAAACTAGTCTTGTATGCTTCATGAAGTAGCATGATATTCTAGCTTGTTTTGAGTCCATTTCAGCATGTTCTTGATGTTGTTTTACCATGATATACCTCTGTTAAGGTTTGGTTTAATGGCCCTATGCATGCTCCATGCACTTGTAATGCAATTCCATGAATTAGCCTAACATGCATCATGCTTTGACATGTCATTCTAGCATGCTTTTGGCTTAACTTGAAGAAGATTTTGTTCATGTTTTACCATGTTTAAGGTCTGATTTGTGTTGTTTTGGTCATGCATGCCATGCCTTGTATAGCTATAGTGCATTCTAGCTTGCTAGCTTTGTGTATCAAGTCCACTAGCATGCATTGCTTGGACTATTTGAATGATTTGGCATAATTTATAATGTGATTTCAGTCCATGTTTTATGGTCATGCACTTGCATTTGTCACTTATTCAATGCGTTGGAAGGTTTGCCCCTTTATCCCTTAACATAGGTCATTGCGTATGTCTTTATGCCTAAGCTTGCGAGCTATCATTTCAATGTGTTTTTTGGGTTATTATGCCATGATATAACTCTGATTTTTGTTGCTTATGTCATTCCATGCTTGGTCTTGGTAGGTGTAATGTAATCCACCTAATTTGCCTTGTATGCATCACGCCTTATGCTCACCATGCTAGCTTATTTTGACTTCCTTCCATACACATTTTAGTATCATTTTGATATGTTCAAGGACTGCTTTGGGTTGCCTTTGCCATATGTTTCATGTTTTACATAGTCGTAGTACAAGTGCTCTTGCTAGCTTCAACCTTTAGGCTTCATAACATGCTTCATTTGCATCATGTATATGATTTGGCATCATTTATTATGTTATTTCAGAGCGTTTAGCATTTCCATGTTCCCACTTCATTCACTCTTTAAGTGCCTTTGAGTGTTATGCATTGTTGCCTCTTTTATGGCTTAGCTTGTTTGCTTGCATGCCTAGGTCTTTAAGCCCCTATCTCAGCATGTTTAGGTCTTTGTTTAAACCTAATTAAGCTCTGTCCATGATTGGTTCATGCATTTGTGCCATATATTGCATGCCCCCTTTGTAGTCCTCTTTGATAGTTTCATGCTTAAGGACCATTGCATGCTTTACTTATTTTGATTGAGTGATTTGGCATCATCTCTTGTCTAATTTCAGTGCGCTTAGTGTTGCTACACTTCCACTTTTGTCACTCTTTGAGCACTCTTAAGAGTTGTGCTCTTAGGCCTCTTTGATAGGCCATTGCATGTGCATGCTTGTATGTGCTTTATGTGCCTTAATTTTATCACCATTGGCCACTGATTTGGGCATGACTGAGGTCTATCCCTTTTTGGTTTAAGTCCATTTATCATGTTGCATTACATGTTGTTGCAAGCTTATGTTGCCTTGCATTGAGTATGCATGTCCCTAACATTGCTAAGTTGCCCTTGTTGCATTGCATTGTGCATGCATGCATTAGCATAGTTTGCATGTCATTAGCTTTGTTAAGTTGATCATGTTATATTGCATTGAGAATGCCATCTTACATTGCATTGTGTATGCCATGTTGTTATTCGCATTGTGTATGCCAAGTTGTTGCCTTGCATTGTCTATGCATGCCATTAGCATTTCATACTTGAAGTGATGAAACATGCCTCAATTCTCGGTCGCCAACGCTCTTGATCATACATGATAGAGTTGTAGGCTTTATGTGTTTACTTGTGCATTCATTTTACATTGAATTGTGCAATTTGGCTTCTCGGCCATCATGCATCGAGATGCGTGATTGGTGGCCCGAGGGTCGAGAACCGCACTCCCTTGAGTTCATGACATGATAGAGAGGGTGGTTGTGCACACATATCTTGCAAATACATTGCCATGCCCTTTCTTGCTCTCTGTTGCAACAAACTGGAATTCAGCAGCAACAACTGGTCGGCCGACCAGTATTACTACCTGACCGACCACTTTTTCTGGTTTTTCAGCACAGAAAGTGGTCGACAGGTGGTCTCTTTCCTCAACAACTGGTCGGCAGCCCTCACCACAGGTTCCCATGATGGAGTTTTAGCTTTCTGGAGCTTTGTGCAATGTTCTGGAAACAATTGCAAAAAGAGGCAAGTTGGGGCATCGCGACGGATTTCCAAACGAGGCGACCGGGCATGCATCCAGTCTTCTCCCTCTAAGAACCTCTTTTTAATGCTTTACTTAGCTAATTTGCTTAGCTAGTTTACGCTTTGGTTCTGTATTTAATTAGTTAATGCGTTAACTATTCGATTTGTTTTGTAATAGCTTAATTAGTTAACTAGGATTAGTTAGCTAGTTTTGTTGTGTAATAATTAGTTTAATTAGCTTAGATTAGCTAGTTAGCCTCTTATTCGGTCCCTTAGTCGAGAGGGCGCACTGTTGTAATAAGCGTGCGTACGTGTGATGCATGTCTTCCAACCTCCATTTCTTTCTCCCTTTTACTTAACCGCTTATGAGATGCATGTCTTCCAACCCCCATTTCTTTCTCCCTTTTACTTAACCGCTTACGATGGTTAGTTTAGGGCATATTTCGATTAGCATCCTTATGCTTGCATGCATGCATCATTCATCTATCTTTCATGCATGGGGCTCGGCGCATCATACAAACTGCATTGTATTTCAATACAGTTACTTGAATACGTTTTCAACAACATGTTATCAAGTTACATCTCATATGCCATCTCAGAATAGCCGAGCCTATTTCTAGTTGCATTTTACATGTGTTGCATTAGCCATCTTAACATGAACATTTCTTTCTCCCTTTTATTTACCAGCTTTCGATGGTTAGTTTTAGGGCATGTTTCAATTAGCATCCTTATGCTTGCTTGCGTGCATCCATTCATCTGTATTGCATGCACCAGGCTCAGCGCATCATACTAACTGTATTGTATTTTAATTCCAATTTGAATACATGTATCAAGTTGCATTTCACATGACATTCTAGGTAGCCGAGCCTATCTTAGTTACATTTTCGCATATGTTGCATTAGCCATCTTAACATGAACTAGGATCATACATGATTTCTAACTAGTTCCTTGTTTTGGCTCGAAGTACACCGTGAGTGTTTACGCTTTAGCATACTGCATATGTGTTAATGCTGCCATGTTAGCATGCTTGCCATGAGGCTAACGGCTTATTCGATATAACTGCCTGAATGCTTGTGGGTGAAGGTTGGATTACTTGAATTGGAACAATTCATCAAAATCCTTGCTTTAGCCTACTTGCGAGTAGCAAACTTCAAACTGTTTTAAAACAAACGAATATGCAATGTTTTGTTCCAACTTAGGCGATCTAGTCTATACTTGTATGATGTGCGCATCACATAGTAATTCTAGGTTAATAACTGGAATAAGAACGCATGTATTTTAAAAAACAAGATATCATGTTAGTAAAGGCCGATCTTTGATCGGGCGAGCGGGGGTGCTCATTGCATGACCTTCCCCTCTCGTACCCAAGTTCCTGAACCGAGGCAACTTTGGTGATGACGGACACGTGGCCTTTGGCACGAGTTAGGGTTTCCTAAATTCCCCCAAAATAAAATATTTAGGTGGCGACTTTGTATCTGGCAAAGCAGTCCATGTTTGGCACTTCTTTATTAAAATCAGTTTTCCAAAACGATTTGTCGAATTTGGACTCTTTGGTGATTTATTGATCTTACATCGCACATTGTGAGATTAGATTCAGAATCGTGACATGAGTCCAAAGTTGTAGTAGCTAGAGAGAAAACGAATTTCGTGCCTTCGCGCGCGAAGCTCGGGAGTTCTCGGGCACGTCTACACTCTCATTGAAATTGCAATAAAATGTGTAGACATGTGATTTTTGTTGATTTTTAATTATCTTTTTTGGTAAAGATGTGTTAAAATTATTAATGACCATTTTTGTTAGTTTTTATTCCTTACTTGTATATAACCTTAGAACTTGTATAAGAATCTTTATTAAAGACCTGGACATATATTTGGTGAAGCTCTTATTGAATTTTTTAATTTAATTAGTTCATAAATACCCAAGTCTACAATATACTATATTGTTCCTAATCTTTCATTTGTGATCAGACATGGATAAAAGTTGGATTGCCCTAGGTAGGACGATTGATGGAAGGATGAGTAAACCATATAATGATGGGGTCAAGTTATTTCGTCAATTTGCAATGGGGGTTTTAGACCAGAATGGTAATAATTTGTGCCCGTGTATAAAGTGTGTGAATTTTTATAGACAAAATCTTCAAAATGTGGAAATTCGTTTGCTCCAATATGGGATTATGCAAACTTACACTATATGGCACCAGCACGGGGAACCCCGTGTTTCAAACGAGGTGTATCATGATGATGAAATGCAACTTGATGGCGATGAAATTTTAGGTGGTATTGAAGCTGTAGTGGAAGATCGAATAAAAGGGGAATCAACTGTTACAACCCAAGGGAAGGAAGTGAGAACTTTTGATCAGTTGTTGACTGATGCCAAGCGTGAAGTGTTCCCGAATTGTACAAATTATACTTTGTTGAAGTTTGTGACCGGGGTGCTTAATATGAAGGTAACAAATTATTGGAGCAATAAGTCAGTTAACATGATGCTAAAGTTTTTAAGTAGACTTTTACCGAAAGAAAATTTGGTTCCAAAGTTAACTTATGAAGCTAAGAAAATACTACGTGACTTGGGCTTGTCATATGAGCTCATTAATGCTTGCATAAATGATTGTGTATTATTTTGGAAGGAGAATGCAACACTAGATAAATGTCCAACTTGTAAGACATCTAGATACAAGATTAATCATGGAAGGGGTAACAAGATCCCCCATAAAGTATTACGATACTTTCCTTTGACACCAAGGTTGAAAAGATTGTACATGTCAAGGAAGAGGGCAGAGGACATGAGATGGTACAAAGACAAACGAATGGACGACAAGATATTGAGGCGTCCCACGGACAGTGATAAGTGGAAGGAATTCGATGCACAACATCCCGAGTTTGCCTTGGAGCCTTGAAATGTGAGGCTAGGGTTGGTCGTTGATGGGTTTAACCCTTTTTGGGAACATGAACAATTCTTACAGTTTGTGGCCCGTCATACTCATTCCATACAACTTGCCACCTTGGTTGGTTATGAAGGATCCATTTTGTTTGGTGTCATTACTTATTCCTGGAGAATCAGAACCAGGGATTGATATTGACATCTACATGCGACCATTGGTGGATGAGTTGAATGAGTTATGGACAAATGGTGCACTAACTTATGATGCCTCCACCAATAAGACTTTCCGAATGCATGCAGCTTTGTTGCGGACAATACACGATTGGCCTGCATTTGGTGACATGTCACGACCTAAACCTGCCCCTAACAGTTTGGACATGACCGGCCTAACTCAAGGCCTTAACTTAGCTATTTAAATGTACCTAATCTCGGGGCCTGAATGTAAACTAAATAATAGAAGAATAAACTTTCATTGAGCTATGTCTAGCACTAGGATCATTTTGCATTACCATACATACATAATATTCCAATAACTTTTCACATTACATAAGGCAAAAGGGAATCAACTTGGAAGCTAAGCATTTACAATATCTATATACATATCTATTACTCCCAAAATTATAATAAACATGCCATCATAGAGAGTTTGCAAGACATAACAAAAGAGTCACTTTGGGTGACTCAGCAAAACGGGTACAGCTACAAGCTTCTGGCTGACCTAGGGTTGACCCGCAAGCTAGTTACCTACAAAACATTCAGGAAAGTAAAGTGAGCAAGGCTCGGTGAATAATAGTAGTACAAACAAATTAAAAGTATGAACTTGGGTGAACAATGCATATTCACAAATCAGAGTCTCACTCATTTTTCCCTTTCCTAAACGACCTCGAGCCCACATAAGACAGAACGGCCTTAGGCCCAACAGAATACAGAACGGCCTTAGGCCTTACAAATTACAGAACGGCCTTAGGCCCATCATAGTAACAAAATGGCCTTGGGCCCACCGTATGCACAAATAGAACGACCTCAAGTCCATATTCCACATGTCAAAGTTCAAAACATATAGTAGACATTTTGCATATAACGTAAGGTACTCACAAAAGTGAATAAGATCTCGAATAACATGTATAAATACAAAACATGTATAGAGCATGTTATTACGCTACTATCACTCACTGTAATATGGGTGGATGCTGGTTTCCTCCTGTGGATGCCCTACACATAGCACATAAATCGTAAGTACATCATCCTTCTTAAATTTTCTTTTACTTCTCATTATTCGATTCGTTATGTTTCATGTAATTAAATGCATTATAAGGACATCAAATAGACATAATAACATGTTCGGAGGGTCCAAAAGAGCGAAAGAAAATTACAAAATTTCCTAACTTACGCCATACGTGCGGAAGTCCCCGCCACACATGCCTTTTTAGCAGAATAGCTTCATCCTTCTCCCCTGTTTTCCGCACGTGCGGCTGTGAGCCCTGCACGTGCGGTCGTTTGCTCTGTTTTTCTATCTAAAACTTCAACTTTTCTAGGTTTACAAGGGGTAGTTCTACAGTCAAAATCAAGGTAGATTTGCACTAAAAACATAACACATAACATATAAACATGTAATTCTATGGCCTTTTACACCTTAATTCCCTCACTCTCATTGTATAGATATACCTGTACACATGCTTAGCTATTCATGTACATAAATTCAAGCATACAAAAGTGGGACTAGGCAAAACATAGAGAGATCAAGTATGTTGCCATCTTACACATTCAAGAGGTACATGATCAATTATGAGACTCAGTTATTCCCAATCATAACCCTAGCTTTCATGGAGGGAGGATACTCCCATACAAAGCTTAATGCAAATCAATTTAAGAGGAATTGAGAGTATACCAATGATCTATACTCACTTTAAGTTAAATTCTTCAATTGCTCCTAGCAAGTTCCTCAATTTCTAAATCTTGTTGACTTCCCTCTTCTCCCTTTCTTTCTTATTTCTACAAAGTTCTCTAGATTTCCACTCAACTTATATGTCAAAAGATGAGTTCAAAAAGGGCTTGTATAACACTTATTAAAGCCTTTAGCTTCTAGACTTGCCAAACGAGCCTTAATGATTCGAACAAAATAGATTTTCAATTAAGTTTTCCAAATGGCTCTAAAAATTCCCATTAGCATGTTCCCATACTCAGTTTCAGTTTATCGCGCCTCTACGGCTTTAAATTTCCAAGTTAACATCTAAATTTTGACATATGTGTTTCAATAATCAACAGATAGAAAACATAATCGAACAATTCACACATATAAGCATTACTTTGCATGGAAGTTCACATTGAACATATAATTTCTCATAGAACTAGGGATGTAAAGCATATAAGAGGGTCGAGTTATTACATGACATATCTGGGTGGAGAACAAAGGATCATTATTCTTGTTACACTTGCAATGATGAACCATATTTTGAATCTTTAAGAAGTAAGACGGGGTACACTAACCATCGATGTTACTTGCCTGAGGACCACCCAAAAAGGTGAAAGAGTAGGGCTTACAATGGTAAGATTGAGAAACAGAAGAGATCTTTGGAGTTGCCGGTGGAAAACATATAAGACCAGTTGAACAACATGACAAGTGTCATATATGGAAAGCATCCAAGTAATAGAAAAAGGCCCTGTCAGGCCCCTAATTGGACAAAGGTAAGCATCTTGTATGAGCTACCCTATTGGAAGAAACGAAAACTTCGACACAACATTGATGTCATGCATGTGGAGAAAAATTTTAGTGAAAATGTTTTTCGGAACTATGTTAGGCATTGATGGAAAGAACAAGGACACAGACAAGGCACGATTAAACTTGAAAGATATGGGTATAAGAAAAGAGCTATGGCTAACGCAACGACCCAATGGGTCATATGTCAAGCCTCGAGCAAGCTTTTTATTGACACCTGCAGAGAGGGAGGGTTTCTTTGAATTTTTAAAAACTGTCAAGTATCCAGATGGGTATGCGGCAAACATATCCAAATCAATGAATGCAAGAAATGGTAGACTAACAGGTCTAAAAAGTCACGACTGCCATGTACTTATACAAAGAATTCTTCCCATTGGAATACGTGGTTACGTGGATAAAGAAATTAGCATAACACTTTTTGAGTTAGGAAATTTCTTCCAAGACCAATGCTCTAGGACACTAAGGTAGAGCGAACTGGAGAAATTCGAGGAACGTATAATACACATTTTATGCAAGCTTGAAAAGATCTTTCCTCCAGTCTTTTTTGATGTGATGATCCACTTGGCTGATCATTTGCCTTGTGAGGCTATTCCTGGAGGACCTGTACAATATTGATGGATGTACCCAATTGAAAGGTATTTTTTACACTTATACTTGTAAATGAGATTTGCATAAGTGTGTTGCATGTGTAACTATACTCCTAATTTGTTCTCTCTTGAAGGTTTCTTGGAGCATTAAAAAAATATGTAACCAACCGAGCTTGACCAGAAGGTTCAATTGCCGAGGTTTACATTGTCAAAAAGCGCATTACTTTTTGTTCAATGTATGTTGATGGGATTGAAATCGTGCATAATCGACTAGAACAGAATGAAGATCGTGGTGAACATCAACAAGGGTTGACAGTATTCACATAAACTACACGTCCAATTGGTCTAATCACACAGGATGCTGAAATGTCTCAAGAAATTCGTGATATTGCTCATTGGTTTGTGTTGTACAATAGCCCAAAGATAGAGAAGTATTTAGAGTATGTGTTTCATTGAATTATGTTTATGCTTAGCTTTTTTATTTTCAGAACTACGTAGTAATCACTTTTTTTTTTTTTTTTGAGTAGGGAAAATCCCTTTTTTTTTTTTTTTTTTGAGTAGGGAACACAAAATTCTATTACAAACTCGAGTTGGACATGACATAACCCACATACAACGACAAGAATTTCACAAGTGGTTCAAAGAGAGGGTAAAACATTTATAATTTTTCGACATTTACAACTTAAACAAAATTAAAGTTTTATAAAATGTCGTCATTTATAAATTATTTACTTATTGTTTGTTACATGTAATTGTAGATAAATAGATTGAGAGTGGAAGAGTCATCAGAGGTAACCGATGAACTGTGGTCATTAGCAAATGGTCCTAATTTGCTAGTGAAAGAGTACTCAGGTTACATAATCAATAGCAGACGATTCCATACTCGAGATCTAGACAACCGTCGTAAGAGTCAGAATAGTGGTGTGCTTACACAAGGGGATCATGAAGGAAAATTGCATGACTTCTACGATCACTTGTGCAAGGTTTTGGAATTTGACTACATATGTGATAAAAAAAGGTTATTTTGTTCCAGTGTGAATGGTACAACCACGGTAACACTGGTAGAAATAGAACAATACAATTTGATACATATTGCACAAGCATTGACGTGAAAAGTCGGTGGTACCAATCTTACCCATTTATCCTACCTAGTCAAGCTAAGTAAGTCTTCTATCTGAATGATACCAAGTTGGGTGAACCTTGGAATGTCGTACAAAGGGTGCAGCATAGAGGTGTCTTTAATGTTCCAAAAGCTAGTGATGGAGAATTATTGGATCTTTCAGAAAATAATGATGTGTTCTAACAAGAAAACATTACTGATGTTGTTCCAATTGACATTGACCCAATTGTTCGATATTGTAGGGATGATGTTGAATTCAACGTTATTTCGAAAGTAGAGGAGATAATGGAAGAGAAGAGAGATGATGAAGGAGATGAAAAACATAACATTCCTGATGTTGATATGGATCCTGATATGGATTATGATATGTAATTTTTATTTTATACTTTATTTCTGAACAGATGTTATTAATTAATGTAATTTTTACTTTATATGTTTATGTTACTTTCTTTTTCTTCTTTCATTTAATGGTGCATGATGATATTGTCTATATTTTTCAATTAAAGTTGAATTATGTTATATAGTTGTAGAAAATGGTCTGAGGCAAAAAATAATGGCTGAAACCAAGTGATTTGAGAACTACGAAGCTAATA